GTCAAGGTTGACCATTGGGAGGTCAACAATGGTCAACAGTGGTCAACCAAGGTTGACCATGGGGAGGTCAATGGTGGTCAAGAGTGGCCAACAAAGGCAAGGTCAACCATGGCAAGGTCAATGGTGGCCAACCAGGTCAAGATCAACCAAGTTAAGGTGAACCATGGGGAGGTCAATGGGGTCAATGGGGTCATCTTGAGGTGGTCAATGGTGTCCAATGAGGTCAAGGTCAAGGTCAAGGTCAAGGTGGTCAAGGTCAACCATGGGGAGGTCGGTGGGGTCAGTGGTGGTCAATGGTGGCCAACCAAGACGAAGTCAACCATGGGGAGGTCAGTGGTGATCAATGGTGATCAATGGCGGTCAATGGAGGTCAGTGGTGGTCAACGGTGTCCAACCAAGCCAAAGTCAACCATGGGGAGGTCAATGGGGTCAATGGTGGTTAGTGGAGGTCAATGGGATCAATGGAGGTCAATGGTGGTCAACGGTGGTCAATGGGGTCAATGGTGGCCAACCAAGTCAAAGTCAACCATGGTCAATGGGGTCAATGGTGGTCAATGGTGGTCAACGGTGGCCAACCAAGTCAAAGTCAACCATGGGAGGGTCAATGGGGGTCAATGGTGGTCAATGGAGGTCAATGGTGGTCAATGGTGTCCAACCAAGTCAAGGTCAACCATGGGAGGGTCAATGGTGATCAATGGTGGTCCATGGTGGTCAATGGTGGTCAACGGTGGCCAAAGAGGTCAAGGTCAACCATGGGAGGGTTAATGGTGGTCAATGGTGATCAATAGTGGTCAATGGAGGTCAATGGTGGTCAACGGTGGCCAACCAAGTCAAAGTCAACAATAGGAAGCTCAACGGTGGCCAACAGCGGCCAACCACAGCACGCCTTGCCCACCACCAGGCGACTCGCTGAGCTACCACAACGGCCAGAAGTTCTCCACCTTCGACCGCGACCAGGACCTCTTCGCCCAGAACTGCGCCGCGCTCTCCTCGGGGGCCTGGTGGTTCCGCAGCTGCCACTTCTCCAACCTCAACGGCTTCTACCTGGCCGGGCCGCACCTGTCCTACGCCAACGGCATCAACTGGGCCCAGTGGAAGGGCTTCTACTACTCCCTCAAGCGCAGCGAGATGAAGATCCGCCGCCTCTGAGGGCCACGCCCACCCCCGCCGCCTGGACACGCCCACCCGGACAAGCCACGCCCCCGAGCCGCGTTGACCCCGCCCTTAATAAAGGCCCAGCGTTGTTGATTGATCAGCGGGGGTTGGGGCGGTGGAGACGTCTCGGGGGGGTTTTGGGCAGGGAATTTTTGGGGGGGTTTGAGGTGTTTTGGGGTCTGGGAGGTCACCCGGCCCCTCCCCCACCCCTAATTAGCTCCTCCCACCGTTAATTAAGGAAGAACTTGATTGGTCAGCGGGGGTTGGGGTGGTGGAAACATCTCGGGGGGGTTCTGGAGGGAGATTTTTTTGGGGGGGTTTGAGGTGTTTTGGGGTCTGGGAGGTCACCCGGCCCCTCCCCCACCCCTAATTAGCTCCTCCCACCGTTAATTAAGGAAGAACTTGATTGGTCAGCGGGGGTTGGGGTGGTGGAAACATCTCGGGGGGGTTCTGGAGGGAGATTTTTTTGGGGGGGTTTGAGGTGTTTTGGGGTCTGGGAGGTCACCCGGCCCCTCCCCCACCCCTAATTAGCTCCTCCCACCGTTAATTAAGGAAGAACTTGATTGGTCAGCGGGGGTTGGGGTGGTGGAAACATCTCGGGGGGGTTCTGGAGGGAGATTTTTTTGGGGGGGTTTGAGGTGTTTTGGGGTCTGGGAGGTCACCCGGCCCCTCCCCCACCCCTAATTAGCTCCTCCCACCGTTAATTAAGGAAGAACTTGATTGGTCAGCGGGGGTTGGGGTGGTGGAAACATCTCGGGGGGGTTCTGGAGGGAGATTTTTTTGGGGGGGTTTGAGGTGTTTTGGGGTCTGGGAGGTCACCCGGCCCCTCCCCCACCCCTAATTAGCTCCTCCCACCGTTAATTAAGGAAGAACTTGATTGGTCAGCGGGGGTTGGGGTGGTGGAAACATCTCGGGGGGGTTCTGGAGGGAGATTTTTTTGGGGGGGTTTGAGGTGTTTTGGGGTCTGGGAGGTCACCCGGCCCCTCCCCCACCCCTAATTAGCTCCTCCCACCGTTAATTAAGGAAGAACTTGATTGGTCAGCGGGGGTTGGGGTGGTGGAAACATCTCGGGGGGGTTCTGGAGGGAGATTTTTTTGGGGGGGTTTGAGGTGTTTTGGGGTCTGGGAGGTCACCCGGCCCCTCCCCCACCCCTAATTAGCTCCTCCCACCGTTAATTAAGGAAGAACTTGATTGGTCAGCGGGGGTTGGGGTGGTGGAAACATCTCGGGGGGGTTCTGGAGGGAGATTTTTTTGGGGGGGTTTGAGGTGTTTTGGGGTCTGGGAGGTCACCCGGCCCCTCCCCCACCCCTAATTAGCTCCTCCCACCGTTAATTAAGGAAGAACTTGATTGGTCAGCGGGGGTTGGGGTGGTGGAAACATCTCGGGGGGGTTCTGGAGGGAGATTTTTTTGGGGGGGTTTGAGGTGTTTTGGGGTCTGGGAGGTCACCCGGCCCCTCCCCCAC